CTTTCAAAGAGTATGGTGTTTTCTTCTATTTTAGAAATGATTTCTTGGTTATTTTGTGAAATTTTCAAAATTATCTCATCCATCGTGGTTAATTTTTGTTATCTTTTAAAACCATTTATATATATGAAATCATATAAAATGTAAAGTTTGCAAAAAAATTATTTGTGTAATTATTAGTGATTTATTAATAAATTTCACAAAAATACCAGACAGAAATTACAAAATAGTGAATTTATATAGGGATAAACATGTTAAGAAAATTGCAAAAAAAAAAAGATAAACAACCAAATAAAGATAAATTTACCTTTTAATATATGGTTAACAAGAAAAAAAATAAAAGAATCAAGTGTAATTTTTTTATCATCAACTCAAAAAATTTGCAAAAAAAAAGATGTGAGAATAAACGTGTTAAGAAATACATGTTTATAAATTTTGCAAAATAAAATTAAAAAATAAATTTGATTTGCAAAAGAAATTTCTGAAAAAATTAAATTTTTTCATTAAACGAATATAGAAATCTAATTAAAATATATGCAAACTAAAAATATTTGCAAAAACTCTTGTTAATTTTTCGTTAATTCAATATTTACAAATATTTTTTTATATTTTTTTTACTTAACTTTTTTTAAAAAGTCTAAATTTAACAGAAAAATAATTAAAAAAATTTAAAAATTTTATAAATTTTTTTTTAAAGAAATATTTTTTTTCACAAAATCTAAATAACTATTGCAAAAAACTCGCTAATTAAACGAAAAAAGTTCATGATTGAAATAAAATTTGTTATCTTGAATATTTTTTTGGAAGTTAAATTTAGAAATTATTTTTTTTTAATTTTTTTTAACGGGGTTTTACAAGTTTTTTTATTTCAATTTTAAATTAAAATTAAAAGGAAAATGAATAAAATGAAAATACATGTTTATTTTTTTTGCAAATTTAATAATTTTTTTGCAATGCTCTGTGTGCCAAAATTTTTATCAAACCCTTCTTCTTTTAGAATTCTTTTGTATAATTTTTGATATGTGATTCCATTTTTATCTTTGATGGAAACTGCTAGGTTGTAATAGTTATTAAGCTTTTTAGCGGTCCATGTGTATGTTGAATATTTGTTGTATATCTTGATATCGAATAGAAATGTGATATTTTTCAGATTTGTTTTTATTTCAAAGAATAATCTTCCGTTTATGATAATATGTCTTATATTATTATAAGATTTTTTGTTAGAATCTGTTCTTTTTGATAACCATGTCCCGTATTGGACATCATATTTATCCAAGTCAAGATTTTCCATAAAAGCCATTTGTTATTTCTTGATGAAAAGAACAAGAAATATGAATATTTGCAAATTATCAATCATCATTTTATTTATAATACAATTAATTTTTACAAATAACGTGATCATATGTTATGCTGATCAAAATGATGAGAAGAAAGATAACGAACGGAGATATTTTAATCCTGATGTGGCGACCGGTGTTGTGATTGGGTTATCCTTATCTTTGATTTCACAATATCTCAACACACAAAAAATTTGTTCTTTCATACAAAA